GTAAATAACTTTTCCACCTAGGGAGAAAGTTGGCAACACTTGAGTGGGATAAAAATGCCCCTTCTAATTATGGATTTTTATGGCTAAAATGGCCATTACCTTATTTACCTTAGAAATAAAAGAACATGGGTAAATGCACTTACTAGAGTAAGTATTTCCTAGAAAAAACTTACCCAAGTAATTGCACTTACCCGGGTAAGTAACTTATTGAAAAGCGAATAAGGCCTTAGAGCTTACCGTGGATATATCTCACTCGAATTGAAAGAAATTAAGTTGTGTCGCGAGGGAATGCAAGTTGTCTGAATGACGATTTTGGTGAGAAAGCAAGCTGAATTTGACAGAGAGGGCAGTCTTGCAATCTAACATGAAGCGTCCGCTTCCAAACGATGACGGCAAGCTTAACAAACTTCCAGCGTATTCCTCATCCTCTTCTCTCGAAACCCTAACCTCATCTTCTTTGCCTCCATCCACAGATCAAATATTCAAGAACTTTAATCTTACTTCTTGGTTTAGTGTTTAAGCCGTTCCGGTATGTATTTTTGATTTGTTTATTTATTGTTCCATTGAATTCCTATCAATTTAGGGCTTATGTTTCTAATGGCATCAGTTATGTTTCGAGTATTTACCATTAATTTCGATTTTCAACTTCGTTTCTTCACATCACCTTATTGATAACATGTATTATTTTAGGGTAAATTACAAAGATCCCCCTTGTACTATGGGGTCAATGCTAAAGTCCCCCTTATATTTTTTATTGCAACAAAGACCCCTTTGAGCGATTGAGCGTTAATTGGGTGAGATGAAAAGTAGCAATTCAAATTACATTTTTCCGCCCTCACAATTAAAAGGGACCAAATTTAGAAACAGTGATATTTTAGTTAAACAAAATTTTTACTCTCTATCTTAATTATAAAATTTAATGAGAATGAATTGAATGAGGTAAAAAATAATAGTTCAAATTATACTTTTTATTCTCAAAATTAAAGAAGGATCAAATTTAAAAATAGGAATATTTTAGTAAAACAAAGGTTTCACTTCATTCATACTTTTTAGAGTAGTGAAGATAAAGATAAAGATTTTCTCCTTTAGAGACATGTGAGACAATACTTATTGCATAAAAGACTCTCATGTACAACGTCATAACCAAGTCCAACAACCTCTACACCACAATAACCTATATTATTGCATACGTGTAGGTTGTTAATAAATTTTACCTTACCTTTTTCAAAAAAAAAAAAAAAATCCAACATCCACACTATCAATAGCCTATACAATGAAGTTTAGATAATTCACCCATGATAATGACCAACAGAATTCTTTGGGGGATAATCATTACCCCCCCTCTCCTCAAAAGGAATGATGTATTGGTCATACCCATTGGCCTTAAGCAAAGTTGATTGACTAGGGAACAGGGGCAGCCTCCCAAACTTTTCCATCTCTATACCCATAAGGCCATAACATAGGGTAGCCCATCCCCTAGCCCACAACCAGGTTGGGTTAATACTTGGGCCCTCTAAACTTTTCAGAGAAAATATTACTGGTTGAGGAAAAGTCACATTTGTACTTATTTATCTCAATTGTGACCCAATTTGATTTCTTGAAACCCCAATTCTAACTTTAACATAATCCATTATTTTTTTGTCTCAATCCAATTTGTTTGAATTGGATTTTCAGGTTAGGCTTGAATTGGAATAATTGACTTATTTGTTATTATAGGGTCAGATTGGACAATTTCTCCATCTTAACCCAACCCAAAGTTAAATAGGGTTCATTTTTTAACCTTAACCCTAAAAGAAAATTCAAAGTGAACTTATTGTTAGGATTTTAAATGAACAATACATCACCTAGGTGCATTGTAGAAAATTTTGACTAGTCTACATTCTCCATTCTCTCTCATCCAAGAGAAAATTCCTGGCCCCTCCATTCCTAGGGAAATTTCCCTGGAAGGGTTCATTAATTCTTTGGAAATCCATAAAAATATCCACTTTAACTCCAAATTGAATGATTATATATAAATCCATTACCCATATTTCCAATGTTTTTTTTATATACTAAAAATATAATAAGATATATATTTTGGTTATTTTGAAAAGTAACCCTAAATTAAATCAGGCCATCTCTATTCTCTACATTTTCAAAGAAACCTTGATCCTTCTTACCTTGTCATCATTGAAGAGTACTGGTCTTATAAAGACAGCCAATACAAAATGGGGTGCCTACACGGAGCCTGAGCCCCAGTGCTGCTGTGCATCATGCATCGATCTATTGGCGCACACAGAGTCACAGACACAACAAACATGAGAATAACTCTGGAAGGTATTGGGTTCTGTCTGAAAAACACAATTGGGCATCACACAGTGATGCCGCATCAGTGTAAAATAGAACACAGGACGAAGTGCCAACACGATATGGCGTTATAAATACATACCTTCCTGATCAATTGAGGGATGTATCATCAACTAGAGAAGTTATAAATCAAAACCCTTTGTGTAAGAGTACAAACACAAATATATAGAGTGCAAAACCTTGTATATTGTATGTCTAAACTTTATATTTGTACTGTATATGTTTGTATTTACACTCTTTCCAAATTAAGTCTTAGCTCTGTTTGGAAAGAGTACAAATACAAATATGTATATTGTTAATACATACAAAATAATATAAAATACAAGGTTTCATACTCTACATATTTGTATTCCTTCCAAACCGAGTCTTAAGTCGTGCTTGGTTGCAGTGCAAATTTATTTGCACTAGCACAAAATGAAAAGAATAAAATTTTTGGTTTAATTTTGTTTTGGGTTTTACTTTATTCTGCTTCAAATCTTATTTTACTTTACTTGTACTACAATCAAACAAAATAAGGTAAACTCTGAAATTAAAATAAGGGAAAAATTCCCAATTAGTACTTTGTACTTTGGGCCTAGTGTCACTTTGGTCCCCGAATTTTAAAATGCGACAATTATATACCCAGACTTTCAAAACATGCCAATCCAGTACCTGCCATTAACCAGCTCGTTAACCATCTGTTAAGTGGCATTTGAAAAGACACAAATCCCCTTTGAGTGTCATTTAATTTTCTTTATCAACCACCCAAAGTTGATAAAACATGAACAGTCTCAAATCTTTATCTCTTCTATTCAATAAAGTTGGGGTCACCAGAATGCCCACTGATACGTGATCCCAACTTTCTTGAATAGAAGAGCCAAGGATTTGGAACTGTTCATTTTTTGTCAACATTTGGATGGTTGATAAAGAGAATTAAATGACACTCAAAGGGTATTTGTGTCTTTTCAAATACCACTTAATGGTTGGTTAATAGACTGGTTAACGATAGGTTGGATTGACACGTTTTGAAAGTTTGGGTATTAAATTGATACATTTTAAAGTTTGGGGACCAAAGTGACACTAAACCCAAAATCTTGGATACTAATTGGGAATTTTCCTTAAAAATAAATCAGAATTTGCATCCAAATCATTTTCACTATCATAGTTTTGCATTGGTGCAAATAAATTTGTACTACCATATTATATATTATTAGGTTGTGTTTGGTTGCAGTGCAGTTTTATTTGCATTAGTACAAATGCATGGGAGTGTAAATGTATAAATGCAAATTCTTGTTTAATTTTGTTTTGGATTTTACTTTATTCTACTTCATGTCTTAATTTACTTTATTTTTACTGCAATCAAATAAAATAAGTTAAAATTTGAAACAAAAATAGGTCAAAACTTACACTCAAATCATTTGCATTGTCATGGTCATCGATGAAAATTTATTTGCATTGCAACCAAACACAGCATTAGAATCATTTAATAAGTCAAAAAATTTGTATTTCTTTACACTATATTCAACATGGTAGGCCATGTGGAAAGGCTGGTAAGGAAACTTATCCAAATAAAGGGTCCAGCAGCTTAGGATAATCTTGAACAAACACTACAAGAATAATGTTTCCAATCCTTGAATCTTTAATCTATTGGCTTCAGACTCAGCTCCTAATAAAATGGGACAGCTGGCAAGTTATGTGGCCTCAACCCATGGATTCTAAGTCATCAAGGTTGCAGAAATCACTTTCTATAATTTGGTATAATGATTGAAAAATACAATAAGATGCACATTTTTTAAGCCAAACAAGGCTTGATTCCATTCATCACCACTAAACAAAACAAGTCGATCATCTCTCTCCTTAAAATGATCTGATTAAGAAAATCTGGAGGGTGCATGAGAGTCACCATCATGTATGGGTTCTTCAAATAAAAAATCAGAAAAAATGAATATATATATATATATTTAATTAGTTTTATTTAAAATTATATAGGGTGAAACTTTTAACATATTTTATATCATGTGTGTAATCCTTCTTTTGGTTAATTAGCATGCATATAATCTATTGAAAAAAATTAAAAATAATAAATTAATTCTCCTACTTTTCCTCCCACATGTTTTTGAAAGAACATTTTATTTAAATATTATTATACCTTTTTTTTGTGAAAATCCCAATATTTTGTCAAATTAGAAATTATGTGAAACCCTAAATATTGTGAGCTTTGCTTTGAAAACATTGGGCGCCACAGGATCTATCAGACACATGGTATTATTCAAAGCAGCCATATGGATCAATTAGGGTTTGACCAATCCATATATACGACCCAGATTGGCTCTTCCAATTTCTAACTCTGAATCTGATATCTTCTGAGAGGAGCTTTCCAGCAGTCCCCACTTCCCAGTACAGGTTTTACACGATTAATGTTGACAAATTAAACAATCCCAAGACTCAGAAGTCGCCATGAATAAATGCTACAAATTAAAACACACGCTGAGACAAAGTGGAAATAAGGCAAAGCCAAAGAATGTCAGGCGGACTTCCCCACTTTCCTGACTGGTCAAAATCCACTCAGCTGATATCATGAATGAATTAAATCACTGATCTTATCCCAATCCCCATCTATAAATTAACACACTTGTTGCACTTTCTTCAGACTTAATTATCAACAAGCAATGAAAATGAATTCCCATGGAAGTTTTTCTTCTTCTTTCATCCTACTCTTCCTCCTCGTTTCATCTTCTCTCCCATCTCCAGCTCTCTCTGATTCCACTCCTCGCTGCAACCCAGCTGACAATGGAGCCCTCTTGAGAATCAAAGAATCTTTGAACATCCCCGACTACTTCGCAGACTGGAATTCCAGCAAGGAATGTTGTGACTGGAGCCACCTCGGGTGCGGGGCCTATTCCGGTGAAGTCGCCGTTCTGGTCTTTGATTCGATCAATTCTCCTTTCAAAATCCCGGCAGCCATTGGCGACCTCTCCCACCTCTTGGCCCTTGCATTCTATGACATCCCCAACCTCACTGGCTCCATCCCTTCATCATTCACAAAGCTTCAGAATCTGGTATCCATCACCATACGTAACACCACTCTCTCCGGCCCCATCCCAGAATTCCTCAGCCAACTCAAAAATCTCCGGGAGCTGGAGTTGCCCTATAACCAGCTTTCCGGCTCGATCCCGCCTTCCCTTGTCAACCTCAATGAACTGAAGCTTCTTAGCCTGGGATGGAACAGACTCACCGGATACATACCCGACTCGTTTGGGGGATTCAATGCAGACGTGCTGGGTGGTTTCTCCATGCTTCTGTCTCACAACCAGCTCTCCGGTGAGATACCCAGTTCTCTGGGACAATTTAACGTGTCGAGAATCGATCTATCGTATAACAATCTCGTCGGGGACGCGTCGATTTTGTTCAGGGAGAATGCAACAGCAACGTCGATTAATCTATCTAATAACCAGCTGGATTTTGATCTGTCGAGCGTGAGGTTTCCAAGGAGCTTGAAATCTTTGGATTTGTCGCACAACATGATTCGAGGGAGGATTCCCAAGCAAATCACCAAGCTGAATTTGCAGAGCATGGATTTGAGTTACAACCGGTTATGTGGAAGGATTCCGGTCGGTGGAAAGGTGCAGAAGTTCGGTGCCAAATCCTTCGCTTATAATCTGTGTTTGTGTGGTGCACCACTTCCTAAATGCAAGTAATGTCCAACCTCCATGGATGGAGATAGAACAGATTAATTAATAACTGCAACAAGGAATCTAAAATAAAGGATATTGTTCTTTTCTTGTTTGTCTTCTGCTTCTTATATATGCTTCTCAGTTGATGCAGTGTATCTCTATCGTTTCAATAAATTTTATTCTGCTTATTTGATTCAATAATTTTATATTAACAACCGATCAATCACAATTAATCACAATTCACAAGCTTGCAACATGCTATAACTTGGCAAATTAAATCCAGTGATGATGTTATTTTTTTACTAGATAATATTATTTAATATTTAAATAATAATAATAAATATCGAATAATAATATTTATTATTATTATTAAATAATATTTAAATATTTTTTATTATTTGTTAAATAAATAGTATTAATAAATGTTATTTTTATGAAAATGAAAAATAATATTATTTATTATCTCAATAATAACAAATATTGAATAATAATATTTTTTATATGATGAAATGATTTATTATTATTATTATTATTAAATAGATGACATTAATGAGGGCATTAACAGTATTTTATCACCAATATTCTATGGTAGACACGAAGCTGGCCACTTTTATCCAACCGTACATCTGGAATGTCGATTGTATTTTACATCACCAATATTCTCAAAGTGGGGCTGGATGAGCGTGGCCAGCAATGTATCGTGGTCAGCATATTCATACTCATTATACTAACTCTGGTTCTTAGTCTCTATTTAATACAACTTCTCAACTCCTATTTGGGTGCCATGGTTTTCAAAACTGGATTGGACGGGACGGTCCAAAATAATTGGGAATCAATTAGGTGATCAGTTCTATTTTACTTCAAAACCGTTATTTTGCCAAAAATTATTGATTTGGTCAGAAAATCATTAGTTCAGGCGGTCAAATCATTCGAATCATCCAACGATTTTTACCATTTTTTAATTTTTCTATTTATTTTTTATCAGAACGGGCCACCCATTCAGTTCAAATATCAGACCATTTGACCTAGAAACCGGACCCCTGACTGATTCATTGTCCGATTAAATTTTGAAAACCTTGCTGGGTGCTGTATTACCAACTGCATCTATCGCCTGGCAGTTTCCAATCTCTCCAATAAGAAAAATACAGAGAGGAGACCTGAGAAAAAAACAAAAGCTTATTAAGGGCAGTCTTGGCATTTAAAAAATTGACATTCTGTTGATTCTGACGTTGACATAACAGAAGGGGTGTAGATGACAGTATCAGAAATACCAGGGGAGGTGACTCCTATTAGCACAAAGTAATAGGGTATATATGTTTCAGCAAGAGTAGTTCAGGGGAGGTTTTAAGAATTAATTCTCTCATTTAAAATATCATCTGTCATTTTGCAAATAATATTTCTTCTTTCACATATCACTTGTCATATTTGTTGAAAATTAATACCAAAAAAGAAAGAAAACCAGAACAATAATACTGAGAAATAAAGAATAGGATCCGCTTACTTTTGCTTTGTTACAATTTACATAGAAGAATTAATGGCAAAGTTACATTCATAATGAACAAGAATGCCAAATTAAGAAAAAGCCCACGCCTCCACCATTAATTAGCCAAGACCGGATTTGCTCCTCACAACAGGCGCCTCACATGCACATCTTACCATATATTGGAAATATCTCCTGTACTTATTAGTTATTATTCATGGGAGATGTTCCCAATGCACGATGGAGGCCTTTGGTAATTTCAATGACCAAAAGTCAAGGGAAACAAGGTATTTACACTTTTTCTCAAAACTATAGGGGAGGCCTTTGTTAGGGTTAAAGCACAAATGTGGTTTATAGAATTGTTATAAGAGGATATTTTTTTTTTATAATTTTATCTAATGATAATGCAAAAATAATTATAAATCAATAAAATTTACTGAAAAAAATTATAGAAAATTAATAAAAACTAGCATTAAGATACAAAAAATAATACAAATTTATCTAGAGAATAGGAAATTGACCACTCTCACTAAAGCACAACTTAAATTGTGATTAGATAAACTAGACATAACTCCAAAAAATAATACTTGAATTGAATTTAGATGGACACCATTTAATTGGAAATATCATAGAGCTACATCTTCAACTCTGTTGATAAATAAAGCCTACGCATTGCATGAGTCCTCACTAATCTATCTATATATATAGCAAGACGGTCCATGTCAACATGCCTTTCCTTAATCCATTACCCCCTCCCTTCATTAGAAAAACTTTAGCTGTTGGGGGCCAATAGCCTTTGCTGTCGAGAGAATTTCTGAAAATGCCACATTATTCTGAGAATGGATAAATTAGTAATTACATATTAATTTATTTTTACTAAATACCAAAACACGGGCGTGAATAGGTGAACTACCCAAAACATGCCCAGCCCAGAAACTGGCTGGGTTTTCAAAGATTAACTCATTAATCGTTAAACAAATAATTGCAGCTGGCTCCGGCCGACGAAGACAAGCAGGTTTTCTTCCCGACCACCAGGACTCTCAAGCGATATCCGATCAACGTCCAGCGCAGAAGTAAAATTGTAGCAAACGTGAAATGTAATAGAGAAGATAGAATAGAACTGAATTGAGTTCAAGTAACTCATAAGAATCAAATCGAATTGAGCTTTACTAGCATGCAAATATTGACTCGAATTGAATTTCAATCTCCGAGTTTTTGAGTCCAACTTAACTCAATTTGACTCAGCTAGGTGGTCCCCACACTGGCCACTGAACAAGTATAGAGTATCCCATGTGAAACAAATCCACCGATGGATCCCCCACTCATTCTCATGGGATGGGGCTCCTTGCAGATCCACCGGTGGCCGCACTGTGCATGGGTGAGAAATTGGCCTTAGCCGCTAGGAAGTGGGATGGAGGGGTTTATGCCCAGATACGGAAGTCGTCATTTCTGGAACTTTATAGAGTGCTCGGGCTAGAAAGGAAGACCAACAATCAAAACAAACAAAATCACAAAAATGTAATAAAATTTTCATAAAATTACATTTTGGAAATTAAAAGATATAATATTGTACTTTTGGAAAAAAATTGAAAGTTTATTTAAAATGTATTAAATAATTATTGGAATGTTTTGGAAATTTTAAGAAAATTTATTACATTTGATAGATTTTGAAAAACTATTGAAAAATTATGTAACTTTCTTTGTAAATTATTGAAAATTATTAAAGATAAACGAGTATGGGAAAGGGAAAACTATAATTTGAACCAATAATTACACAAATTATTACGATAAATTAGTATAATATTGGAAAAAGGAAATAGTTGGTTAGTTTATATTACAAAATATAAGATAAATTAGTGTAATTTTGTAATTAAATATTAAGAAAATAAATTATTTAATAATAATTTAAAAATAAATTTGAATAAATTACACAAATATAATAGATTTTTCAAAATTTTCATAAAATTACATTTTGAAAATTAAAGACAATTTAGTGTACTTTTAAAAATTTACCATGTGGCCAATACTCAATATATCCTTTTGATTATTTGTCATCAAATTGAATATTGGGTTGATTGGGAGTGGGTGCCTTGCCTTAAACCCGCTCGACACTAGCGATGGGGCAAGGAAAATAAGCCGATTCCCCATCCTTAATGGGGAGTGGTGCCTTGGCTTGAACCCTCTTAACATTGGGGATGGGGCAGGGAAAATTCGAGGATTCCCATCCTTAATGAGCGAATGCCTTGCCCTGAATTCACTCGACATTTAGGACAAAGTGGAGAAATTCGAGGGTTTCCCATCCCTAACGAGGAGTGGGTGCTTTGCCTTGAACCCACTTGATACTGGGAGGGTGAGGATGGGGTAGAGTGTCTTGACTATAGGGCGGGGACAGGGATGAGGTGCCTCACCCCAAACCCATGCCATTCTTATATAATTGTTAACCAATTGTGAAATTAATAAAAATGTTAGCTTTTGTAATTATTTTTATTTATTTAAAGTCAATCAAAATTTTATTTAAAAATAATGAAAATAATAAGAAATATTAAAATTACTACAAATGGTTAATAAAATTAAACTTATTAAAAAATATTTGTTCATGTTAAATTAATAATAATAATTTTCAATAAATCAACATTAAATGAAAAATGCAATTATTAAATTTTTAAATATTAACAATAAATTTGAATATTTTTAGTTAATTAACAATAAATTTTAATTATTAATTAATTAATTAATTAATAATAAATAAAATTATTCAATCTTTTAGATTTTCCCGTGCATTGCACGGATCCCCATTAATATATAATAAAACAAGACAGTCAATGTCAATAGGCCTCTTCTTTCACCATAGGTATTTATCTATTTTCTCATTTTTCTGTATTTTTCTTATTTTTTATTTTAAAATACAAAAAATAATCAAATCATGTCCTAATACAGACAATTATGAGAGTGTGAATGAATAGATGTAATATATTCTTAGAGAGAGAGAGATTTTAAGGTATGCAAATATTCCGATCCTTAGAAGTTAATACGTTGGGGTTAGCATGGGCTACCCACACCCGAACTTACCTGAACGGAATGAAATCCAACCCAACCTCTTAACCTGATAGGATCAGTTTGTGCGGGTTTAACACTTAGATTGTCCTAGGTAAAGCTCAATACATTATACATGGTAATCAAAAAAAAAAAAAAACATTATACATGGTAGGTAATATGGATATACATGGTAGGTAATATTGAGTAGTCTGATCCAATCTCTTAACTTGATAGGATCGGATGGTGCGGGTTTACCACTTAGACTGACCTAGCTAAAAGCTCAATACATTATACATGGTAGGTAAGATAGAGCTGTATTTATTATATATTTGTTATACTAAAACTAATATATAGTGTATTTTCAGTAATTATTTGTTGTATTTGTGATAAATATATTTTAACAATTATGTATAAATCTTTTTTTTGTTTTGTTATTTAGAAAAAAACATTTTCAATAATTATTAGAGATTAAAATATTACTATTTAACTTTTAAATTTAATTTATTAT